AGTTAGTTAGTTAGTTAGTTAGTTAGTTAGTTAGTTAGTTAGTTAGTTAGTTAGTTAGTTAGTTAGTAGTTAGTTAGTTAGTTAGTTAGTTAGTTAGTTAGTTAGTTAGTTAGTTAGTTAGTAGTTAGTTAGTTAGTTAGTTAGTTAGTAGTTAGTTAGTTAGTTAGTTAGTTAGTTAGTTAGTTAGTTAGTTAGTTAGTTAGTTAGTTAGTTAGTAGTTAGTTAGTTAGTTAGTTAGTTAGTTAGTTAGTTAGTTAGTTAGTTAGTTAGTTAGTTTAGTTAGTTAGTTAGTTAGTTAGTTAGTTAGTTAGTTAGTTAGTTAGTTAGTTAGTTAGTTAGTTAGTTAGTTAGTTAGTTAGTTAGTTAGTTAGTTAGTTAGTTAGTTAGTTAGTTAGTTAGTTAGTTAGTTAGTTAGTTAGTTAGTTAGTTAGTTAGTTAGTTAGTTAGTTAGTTAGTTAGTAGTTAGTTAGTTAGTTAGTTAGTTAGTTAGTTAGTTAGTTAGTTAGTTAGTTAGTTAGTTAGTTAGTTAGTTAGTTAGTAGTTAGTTAGTAGTTAGTTAGTAGTTAGTTAGTTAGTTAGTTAGTTAGTTAGTTAGTTAGTTAGTTAGTTAGTAGTAGTTAGTTAGTTAGTTAGTTAGTTAGTTAGTTAGTTAGTTAGTTAGTAGTTAGTTAGTTAGTTAGTTAGTTAGTTAGTTAGTTAGTTAGTTAGTTAGTTAGTAGTTAGTTAGTTAGTTAGTTAGTTAGTTAGTTAGTTAGTTAGTTAGTTAGTTAGTTAGTTAGTTAGTAGTTAGTTAGTTAGTTAGTTAGTAGTTAGTTAGTTAGTTAGTAGTTAGTTAGTTAGTTAGTTAGTTAGTTAGTTAGTTAGTTAGTTAGTTAGTTAGTTAGTTAGTTAGTAGTTAGTTAGTTAGTTAGTTAGTTAGTTAGTTAGTTAGTTAGTTAGTTAGTTAGTTAGTTAGTTAGTTAGTTAGTTAGTTAGTTAGTTAGTTAGTTAGTTAGTTAGTTAGTTAGTTAGTTAGTTAGTTAGTTAGTTAGTTAGTTAGTTAGTTAGTTAGTTAGTTAGTTAGTTAGTTAGTTAGTTAGTTAGTTAGTTAGTTAGTTAGTTAGTTAGTTAGTTAGTTAGTTAGTAGTTAGTTAGTTAGTTAGTTAGTTAGTTAGTTAGTTAGTTAGTTAGTTAGTTAGTTAGTTAGTTAGTTAGTTAGTTAGTTAGTTAGTTAGTTAGTTAGTTAGTTAGTTAGTTAGTAGTAGTTAGTTAGTTAGTTAGTTAGTTAGTTAGTTAGTTAGTTAGTTAGTTAGTTAGTTAGTAGTTAGTTAGTTAGTTAGTTAGTTAGTTAGTTAGTTAGTTAGTTAGTTAGTTAGTTAGTTAGTTAGTTAGTTAGTTAGTTAGTTAGTTAGTTAGTTAGTAGTTAGTTAGTTAGTTAGTTAGTTAGTTAGTTAGTTAGTTAGTTAGTTAGTTAGTTAGTTAGTTAGTTAGTTAGTTAGTTAGTTAGTTAGTTAGTTAGTTAGTTAGTTAGTTAGTTAGTTAGTTAGTTAGTTAGTTAGTTAGTTAGTTAGTTAGTTAGTTAGTAGTTAGTTAGTTAGTTAGTTAGTTAGTTAGTTAGTTAGTTAGTTAGTTAGTTAGTTAGTTAGTTAGTTAGTTAGTTAGTTAGTTAGTTAGTTAGTTAGTTAGTTAGTTAGTTAGTTAGTTAGTTAGTTAGTTAGTAGTTAGTTAGTAGTTAGTTAGTTAGTTAGTTAGTTAGTTAGTTAGTTAGTTAGTTAGTTAGTTAGTTAGTTAATTAGAAAGAAAGAAAAAAGAATGAAAGAAAGAAAGAATGAAATATCGGAAAAACTGCGATTAAATATGTCGTTATCAGGCTTTTTCTGAGTTCATTCAGCTGAGTCTCTCGTGAGAAGACCGTCAGACTGACAGGCTCTTTAAGTTTCTTCTAAGGTTCTGTTAGTTCCTACATATGCTTTCGTGACGAATCAACTGAATTTGTATAAGTCGGTTGTTTGGTCGTGAAGTTGTCGTTGAGTTTTTGTTTGACAACCACAAGTCAGCTGATTTGTCACGGAACCGATTGCGTTAAAAACTCGCATTCAGACTTTTTTGAAATTACGACATAAAATGTCAAATCATTAGGTGTAAAGTTGGGTTTTTTGGAACGAAAAAAAAAAAATTGCTTTAAAATAAAAGTTTAAGCTGGGATATTATTTAATGATGTGTGCTGAAAATGATGAAATGATCCTTGACAGATGATGTGTTTGTTGTTGCTGTCGTTGCTTGGACAACTTATTAAATTCATAGAGTTGGATATTAATATGATGGAAATATAAACTATGTGATTAAATGAACCTAAAGGCGAACAACATTTTACAGTACTGGTATGGCTGTGTATATTGCTAACATGGTCCTTCAGACTGCCTGAAGAATGCTTTGGCTTTCAAGCGGTGAACCTAGGGATCTGGAATGCTAGGAAACTAATACGGTATCATATAGAATGTGGTTACCCTCAGAGAAGCAAAAACCGATTTAATAATAGACGGATAATAGTCACTTCTGTAGAGAGTTATTCAATAAATATGAATTCCACACTTATTATTCATATGTATATGAAATAGACATAAAATCAAATGAAACTTTTTCCTGACAACATTATGCTGTTACACCAATTAGGTCAGGAATATTTTATTCAAATATGTAAGCAGACTAACATATATCTTCAAGTTCATTTAAAATAACCGTTTTATTACTTTGAATTAAGAGTATGATTAATCATTTGTTTCGCCAATTGACAAATGTCTAATAATAAAGTCTTATTATCATATTTAACTCCCACAGCAAAATAAATTCACCGTTTACAATTGTAATTAATGTAAATAATTTCATCATTTCCACTCACTTCTCTATGGCGTGAAATTTATTGTTCAATAAAAAATTAGTATCACATTATCTATCATCAATCGCTAAATACTTCACACACATTTTTCATTACAGTTTCCAACACTCATAATGTTTAAGTAGTTAACAAATATTTACTAAATAAATTAATAAAACGTCAATAATGAATAAATAACTAAATAAATGCAATAACACACCCACCTAAAATCAATTTATGATTGATTACGTGAATAAAAATGAACGCGAATGATTGCCAATTAAATTTGAATATTTATTTATCTGTTTCTAAATTGTGGCATGCGATGTATTGAAATGTAATTATTTGCTTATTTGAATGTCAGTGCAGATAATTTTTGTGGTTTTGATTTCTGATTACAGTTTTGTAAAAATGAATTAAATACATTTAAGTGTCAGATATAATAAACATGTGAATAGTTGTTTTAGTTATTCACCTCCACCATTAAATACATATTTATGTATGAACATTAGGGTTCCCCCATTTGTATGGAGAAGTTGCGATTTTTCTCAACATTTTTTCCTGGGGTCAATAGTTGATGAGATGGGTCAAAGGATAAAAATGTTATTTTTTAAGTATATTTTAATTTTGTTCACGTTTCATGCAAATTAGTTTAGTTCTCTTCTAGTTCTGTTTTAGTTCTCTTCTAGTTCTGTTTTAGTTCTCTTCTAGTTCTGTTGTAGTTCTGTTTTAGTTCTATTCTAGTTCTGTTCTAGTTCTGTTTTAGTTCTGTTTTAGTTCTATTCTAGTTCTGTTCTAGTTCTGTTCTAGTTCTGTTCTAGTTCTGTTCTAGTTCTGTTCTAGTTCTGTTCTAGTTCTGTTCTAGTTCTGTTCTAGTTCTGTTCTAGTTCTGTTCTAGTTCTGTTCTAGTTCTGTTCTAGTTCTGTTCTAGTTCTAGTTCTGTTCTAGTTCTGTTCTAGTTCTGTTCTAGTTCTGTTCTAGTTCTGTTCTAGTTCTGTTCTAGTTCTGTTCTAGTTCTGTTCTAGTTCTGTTCTAGTTCTGTTCTAGTTCTGTTCTAGTTCTGTTCTAGTTCTGTTCTAGTTCTGTTCTAGTTCTGTTCTAGTTCTGTTCTAGTTCTGTTCTAGTTCTGTTCTAGTTCTGTTCTAGTTCTGTTCTAGTTCTGTTCTAGTTCTGTTCTAGTTCTGTTCTAGTTCTGTTCTAGTTCTAGGTTCTAGTTCTGTTCTAGTTCTGTTCTAGTTCTGTTCTAGTTCTGTTCTAGTTCTGTTCTAGTTCTGTTCTAGTTCTGTTCTAGTTCTGTTCTAGTTCTGTTCTAGTTCTGTTCTAGTTCTGTTCTAGTTCTGTTCTAGTCTGTTCTAGTTCTGTTCTAGTTCTGTTCTAGTTCTGTTCTAGTTCTGTTCTAGTTTCTGTTCTAGTTCTGTTCTAGTTCTGTTCTAGTTCTGTTCTAGTTCTGTTCTGTTCTAGTTCTGTTCTAGTTCTGTTCTAGTTCTGTTCTAGTTCTGTTCTAGTTCTGTTCTAGTTCTGTTCTAGTTCTGTTCTAGTTTCTGTTCTAGTTCTGTTCTAGTTCTGTTCTAGTTCTGTTCTAGTTCTGTTCTAGTTCTGTTCTAGTTCTGTTCTAGTTCTGTTCTAGTTCTGTTCTAGTTCTGTTCTAGTTCTGTTCTAGTTCTGTTCTAGTTCTGTTCTAGTTCTGTTCTAGTTCTGTTCTAGTTCTGTTCTAGTTCTGTTCTAGTTCTGTTCTAGTTCTGTTCTAGTTCTGTTCTAGTTCTGTTCTAGTTCTGTTCTAGTTCTGTTCTAGTTCTGTTCTAGTTCTGTTCTAGTTCTGTTCTAGTTCTGTTCTAGTTCTGTTCTAGTTCTGTTCTAGTTCTGTTCTAGTTCTGTTCTAGTTCTGTTCTAGTTCTGTTCTAGTTCTGTTCTAGTTCTGTTCTAGTTCTGTTTCTAGTTCTGTTCTAGTTCTGTTCTAGTTCTGTTCTAGTTCTGTTCTAGTTCTGTTTTATTTCTTTTCTAGTTCTTTTCTAGTTCTATTCTAGTTCTGCAATTTCATTTCCGAATATGTCTTAGGGTTAAAGTTTTGTTATTCCTAATCAAATAAAGAATTTTAGGAAGGCTCTTCCGCTCTTAACATTAAATAAATTTTTGAACCCATTCCGGTTAATTTTTTTTTATTTAAAATGTGATAGACAGACATAGTTATTTGGAACTAAAGAGATTACAAAAACTTGTAAAGAAATTTTGATTGTATATTATTCTTGTTCGGGAATTTCCGGTTCTTCATTCTCTACTTCCTCCTCTTCAGCGAGGGCTTCCTCCTCTTCGGCATAACTTTCAACACGCTCTCCAATAATTATCTCCTCAGCAAGTTGATATAGTTCACGTATGTCCTATAAAAATTTAAATTTTTAATGATTAAAATTCTCTAACTATGAAGCATTACTTTCACTTACTCTTGCATTTCTCAGCTGCATTATTTTATCATCTTCATAGCGCAAATGATCGTATTGTTCTTTCGAGATGAGTAAACCTTCGGAAACATCATTTTCCAATTCCTGTTGCAACATATGAGCATAACGTTGTTTAGCCAAACTAATGGAACTGCCTTCCTCCAATGATTCGCCGCTTGATATATCGGATGCATCGTCAGAAGTTAAATTTTTACGTACTACAACAGTATCAACATCCTCGGTTTCGAAGGGATCTTTGGTTGCTGGTAATTCCTCAAGAGCCTTAAAGTAATAAAAATATAAATAAATATGATAATATTTACTTTAATTTTATAGTTGTTTAATGCAAAATTAGTTATCTTTTAATCTGTTCTAAACTTCTTTAAAAAGGAGTAATTTCCTTTGGTTGCTACCTTCTGTATTGTCTAATTTCCAACAATCATATTGTATTACAAGTATTAAAAGTTTTCCGTATTATTTGTTGCTGTTGTTCGTAAAAACTTTAATGTTTACACTTTAGTTATAAAAATGTATCCATGAAATATAAACAACTTTTGTAGTTAAAAAACAAAAGATATAAAAGAACACTCCTTCCAACTTGTTGTTTTTTATTCAAACCGACAACAGGTATTTTGAGTTCTTTAACTTTTAAGACAAATAAAAAGGACTAAAGGTAACAGTAATACACAAATGGCACCAATGAAAAAAATAACAAAGAAAATAAACTTTAATATGAGTATCAAAAGTTTTTCCTTGAAAAAGTTTGTGTTTTTTGTTGAAAATTGTGATGAATCAAATTTAACGAAATTAAACAAATATAAATTTTTTGGGGATATTAATGTTAGGATAAGGTGAATAATGAATACCGTAGCGCAATTATAGGGCCCTGGATCATTTATCATCAGAGAGAATAATCTCTTATCAGATGATAAGAGATTATTTTCGAATTACATAGATTATAAAGTTTACATGGACAGACGGATTAGTTCGTTTAATCATTCACCACTTTAGAGACTCTCTATATTCCAAATAATTTCTCTCGATTCCATGATAAAAGACCCCATCTTGATGTATTGCAGTCCCAGGGTAAAGAGGTGCTACCACTACCTCCGAGACCATAAAATGCTGCTGATCAAATGTATCCTCGGCCTTTCCTTAGAATGACTTGGTCGAATCAGAGAACCTTCCTCATCTGGTGTCATGGGAACAGGTAACCTAGAGGTCAGAGTTTCAGACTTAGTCTTGTCTCGGCTATTGTAGAGGTCTGTTCGGGGTAAACGATGTGGTTATGGTTTAAACCCAAAATAGCAGGAAGAGAATTTTGGTTAAAGTTAGGTGCAGTTGCTGAGACAACAGATACTAAACAGAGTAGTGTTGGAAATGAGTTGGTATCAAGTGTATATGATGCGGGATAGATGTAGGGGTATGTGCGTATTACCCATCCGTATACCAAGAGTGAGTATGTCGGATGAATGCTGGGTTAAATAGTGATGGATGTAAGGTATCTTATACAAGTGATACCATTGGATTTTCCGTCCTTGACCGGGTATGTTCAGGGTTTACTCTGTTCATACCAAAATCTCTGTGAGTAAGAACAAGTCCTCGACTTATTTGAAAGATTCGTATTACGGTCTACAGCTTAAGTCTCTAGGTGTCGTTGCCGAGTCAATAGAGACCATTCCATCTGCGTGATTGTAAACGGAAGTGATGTTTTTGTATATCGAAAGTTAAGCAACGGGGCAGTAATGGTTAGAGATTAATAATAAGCACAAAGGGGCGGTTGTGAGTCGTCTAATAAGTTCACCCTGTGGTTGTAAAATTACTACCGTGAAATAAAGTCAACACGGCAGGTATTGACGTAAAGCATTTCGACTTCTTGTTGTTATCCCCCTGGATATGTTACCTTGATGAATCATCCCTCATCTTGGTGTTATTGCAATCCAGAGAATCAGTATCTCTAGTTAGCCGGGACTTTATACTTTTAGAGTCAAATGTAACCTCAGCCTATCGTTGGAATGAATTGATATGGGGTCAAACCAGAAAACCTACCTTATCAGGTATCACAGAAACCGGTAGCCCATAAGTCAGACTTTCGGACTTTGTCTTGTCTCTTCCGGAAGTACGTGGTTCTATTCTCGAAAAGGCAATATACTCCCCTTAGAAAAGTGACTGGGGGGTTAAACGTTAGAAGTGGATTGGTGTCAAATGAATAAGATATAGAATAAATGAAGGGGTACACAGGCTGTTGCTGAAACAATAGAGATCATCCCATCAGCGTGGTGGTAAACGATAGTGATGTAATATCGGAAGTTAAGCAATGGGGTAGAAATGATATTAGAAAGCTTAAGTACTGGACCATGGATCGGTGTAACCATGTTCAGAAATTGACACAGGCATATTTGTTGCAAGGCAGAAAGGGCGCAGGTTAATCGTCTCTAGCTCACCATGCGGTTGAAAAAGTATCACCGTCAAATAAGCCAGATGTTCACTCGACTAGACTTCTGTACGAGTTGTTATAGATATGATCAAAACTACCACAAGATTCCCTAAAGGACCCTAAAAAGACGCCACACAAAGAGAGAGAGAAATTCTTACCCTTATACTATTGAGATGTAGGTTATATATCGATACTAAAATGAACTTCAGGATAATATAGGACATTAGATGTTAGATATGGTCCGATATTCGGTCATTATAGACCATGTAATTTCTGTATTGTATTTTCGACAGATATACGAACGGACGGATATTGCTAGATCGTCTTACAATCTATTAAGAACCCAAATATACATACTGTTGTGGGTCTACGATCAATATTTCGTTGTACGACAAACGGAATGACAAAATCACTATACCCTCAACCATATTTGATGCTGCGTATAAAAATTGTCAATTTACCTGTTGTATAATTTGCTCTTGAGATTGTCCTAAAATACCAAAACCCGTTGGTTGTTGCTGACCAGACAACTGATGCGGAAGATGTTTTTGTTTTAGATTCTCTTCGTGTTTCTCTTCAATGGCTTTACGTATACGTCTTTCAACTTCACGGAATGCTTTTCTAAAATAAAATTGAAAATAAACATTTCAACTCATTCTAGCATTTTAAATTGAATTGAATAATAAAAATAATCGAAATGACCATTACCTGGCTTTTAATATGTTATTAATATCCTTGGGATCAGTAGCGAATGGTGTGGGCATACGCAACGAATGTTCTTTCATCTTAGCCCTCTCCTGTTCAAGAAACTCTTTCAGTTGCTGTTCACAAGGTCGCCATTCTTCGTTGTCAATTCTGAGTAAAATGAAAGATAATTGAAAAAATGTTTTAAAAATAATTCACAGAATCATTATTCTTTTCCTTTACATTCTTCATATATCTTTATTTTAATAGACTGTTAATAGACTTTTTCCAGTCAACCATGTAAAAAAAGGAAAGTTAATTAAATGAAATTTTACGAAAAGTGTTAAATTATGTCTAACGTGAAGTACAAGTATAAAGACATATAAATCAAACATAAAAATTTATTTAAAAATATCATGTTAATTTTGTAAGAAAATATATAAATATTTATAGAGAACTGAGACTTTGTAACTGGACCCTGAAATGTAAAGCAAAGTTTTCCTCCATATTATTTATTGAACTTTGAAATATAAATTAACAAAAGTTAAAAAAATCATAAAGGGTCGATGAGGTCAGTTATGTTGAAATTTTTTAGAAATTCAAATATTTCATATCTTTTCTCAGACTCAAAATTTCAATACTCAAATTAATGAACATCTGTAGTGTGAAAAATTTTATGAAATATTAAAAGAATTTCATTACTCTATTGAAATGTTAATCCTGCACACATTTCATTCATAAAAACCTCACAAAGTTTTTGTCTTCTTTGCATCTTACTTTATGACTTGTTGATACTCATCATTAGGGTGGTCTCTGGTAATGCTCTAAAATAATGTATTAAGTTAATCAAATTAATCCCCATTGGGTCATAACAGAACCAACTGCTCTTTTTCTCTATTTATCTTCAAACTTGCAGAATGTTATATGCGTCTAAAATTATATAGTTCGTAGACAATACTGTTACAGTGCTATGCATATGTATTCAGATAATTCTTTGTTGTTTTTGAAAAAACTGATCGAGTAGCCTATTTTTATGCAAAAGAACCATTGAATATTTCACAAGAATAAGACTTATTTTCGGAATCCAAAGCATGGGTTGTTTTGTTAGTAATTGAAATGCTCTCTTGGGTGTATTAGTTCGTTGAACATACAATAAATCACAGACACACCATCACATAGGAAAGTATGAGGAAGCAGCTCTACTAAATCCGTTAATCGATTACCCAATGAGGAACAAAACACCAAGAACACTTTTTGTGTTTTCCCCTCATGAGAATCAATGTCTTGCAGAAGATCTTATTAGACGTAGGTATATTTTGATAAGAGAATAAATCATCAAACCGCTTTTGATCAGCAGCTAAGCTACAAGTGGCTATAATACTTTAGTAAATTTGAGAAAAATTACTACGAATAGATGAAGGAGGAAATCCTGAGGGCGTTAGTTGATGGAGTTCGATGGCGCTAAATGGTTAAACGGAATCATAATCATTATCTCAACACAATGATAGAAACTGTCCCTTTGGACTTCATACATATTCGAACAACGATAGTTAGGTTATGTTGATAGGAGGATGTATCTACATAAAATCCGAAGAAATACACTTAGACCACAATCGGGCCTCTTGTGAGTTCCTTTACAAGGAAAATGTTTGTTGGTATAATAGTACTCACTGAATGTATTATCGTCCGATATTCAGAAACTCAGTTTCCTGGACGTAATTTATAAGAATTTCCCAATCAATGTTCGTGAGGAATATTATAATCGGAATAATATCACTCCCAAGTTATTTGAATCTTATTACGACGAAAGCCTAACAATGCCAAAGAAAGTGTTCCAGAATTCACTGTTCCTTTAGCTGAGCCCGTAATCCGGAGTGACCATTCAGAATATGTACCAGCATACTAATCTCAGACTTGCTCATAACTTTAGTATGTTTCAGTGGGTTAGGGTCAATCCATAGGATCTTTGTGGTTCTACCCATTTCATTATTCCAAGAGGCCTTATGACCATGTTTTTAATTCTGCCTCGTTGCGTTTAATGGTTTTGCGTTCGTCAGGTTAATTAACTCGAGCTCCCATCCCTTTAAAGCTATTACATTCACTCTTTCGTTGCCGACTATACCCGAGTGGCCTGGTTTAGAGCTTTTTTACAATCCAATACGGTCTTAGTTTAGTCTTTAGCATCTGATATCGCCCTCTTTGCATTCTGGCTGTTGGTAAATATGTTAAGCCCTGTGGGCGCCATATTTATTCGAATCCAATTTACGCATTCCATTATTGCTCGGACTTCTGTTTGGAAGCTAATGTTGTGATTAGGTAAACGGTGGTATATTTCAGTTTTTGGGTCATCAATATAGAACCAAAGGTCCACTTCGTTTAGAACCAGCCGTGTAGGAACGGTTTCATACGGGTATTTGCTGTAATGATCCGCTTGACCCAGATATTCTATCTGGGATTAGAGTTTCAAAGTTTCCAACATATTATGTATCTGGTATGTCCGATGATTATGTATAGCCCGCCAATGAGACCAGTATACAGAGATAACGTGTCCCCAAAGTTATGAGCCGTTCGACTGTAAGTGCCGTTTCATATTTTATATACATACATAAGTTTCAATGGGTAGGAATATCTAGCAACGTTTCCAGCCACTTACACCCAAGCAGAATGTACGCTGAACTCCCTGTAGGAGTTTAATATTACACATTTCGAAGTCCACCATATTATTAAAACATAAACTAAAATGTGTCATAGTCAGACTAAGATCCCATTTCATGCCTATGTTTCTCATTCATAGCGCCCAGTATCAATGTGCATTGTTGATTATATCCTCTATGCGGTATCTCCATTTTATTTTCAGGTCAAGGATTACACCTATGTACTTAACTCTGTCTGTCACTGGTATCTTAGAAATGTGCGTCTTTCTTGTGATAAGCCAGTTTTCTGTCATCAACGGGTTAACATTGAGGCCTCTCGGAAGAGCCCAGCTCATGACAGTATTCGGAGCTTCTTCAGCTTTTTTACACAAGTAATTTGTAACATTGAGAGGGACTTTAAAGTCCCTCTCAATATTTGACCTTAAACTAAAGATAAATAAGGCTTAGGCCAAAAAAAGGATCAGTGGGCTTTCTTATGCAGATGGAATTTTAACTTTTGAGGTTATTGCAAGAATGCTTTCCTGCAGAATTTTTTTTTTCATGATATCAGCATCCGAAGTATCAAATAAGAAAAGAGAAGAACTTTAGCGTCATAAATGCATATAAGTGAATTAGTAAGTTCCATCATAAGTGAACGGATATCGTTAATATCTTTACAGGCCTTCCTGATTGTTCGTTATATCATCAAAATGGATAGCATAACAAATTGTTTCAAAGACAGAAATCTTTTTTTCATATAAGTTTTTTGTACCACCCTACTGAACATACCCACTTCCATATTTTACATTTATTTCTATAAACTTTTGTGGTATTGAGGACTGGTTATGTCGGTGAATATTACAAAACCAGAATAAAAATTAACATAAGAAAAGCGTTGAAAGGGAAACAATTTTATAAAATAATAATAAATGATTTCCTTAAAACACACAAAAGAAATAAAAAAGAAATTAAATATGCCATGATTTATTATGGAATGTTTTTCATATGCAAAATATTTTTACAAGTACAAATATAGTAGTACCAGCAGATAAAACTCCACCATATCTGTGCAGAGAAATTTAATTTTTTTTCTTACAAGTTGTTTTTTTTTTTTTGTTCTTATCCTGCTGGTTTATTACTCGCATAAAAGCGGAAGGAAGTTTTTAAACAATATTTAAACATTATATTTATTTATGCAAGTCAATTTAGAATGTTGGAATAAAAAAAGGTCTATTAACACTCACTCACATTCACATCTTTTGTGTGTGAATAAAAAGAAGAAAAAAAATTGATATGGCCTATATAAATATTATTTTAAGCAAGAAAAAGTTATAGCCTTAAAATGTTGCAAAAATCTATGGAATAAATTTTAAAATATTAAACTGGACCTACAAACCTTAACAAATCCATACCCTTGTTGGCGTCTTCATCTTTGTATTGTTCTTCTAGCGCCTTTTGCTCTTTGTATCTCTGCCGTAGGACATTTATACGTTGAGCTTCCTCCTCTTCATGTTGCAAACGTTCTCGTTCCCATTTAACACCTTGCAATTTTAAACGATCTGAATTTTTTTCACGATTGGTTTTTAGCTGGAAATTATGAATATGAAATAAGAAATAATTATACAAAAATCGATGAAAAAAAGTAAGAAATTATAGTCGGGCGAGGCCGACCATATAATACCCTACACCTGTAACAAAAATAAATTGTGATTTAGTTTTCATAATAAAACATTTAAGTGGGATTGCACCTTGTCTCAGATATACTTAAGCCATTTATTGTTGAATAAAATTGTGGATATTTAAGTCAAATTTTGAAGGGGACTTTTCATAGGAGCTTGGGTTAAATGAGGCCCTATAATTATAAAATTCATAAGGGTTATTAAGGCTAGTATAGAACTTGATTTTACAGCTTTTTGTCGAGATAGGAGTATATTAAACATAATTATCAACTTAAAAGGCCTATTTGGCGGGTTCAGTTGTATGGGGGCTAGGTGAAATATTGAACCTACATATGTTAATCATTTTCAATAGACCTCGTCTCCGGTACCATAGAAGATCATGTACCGAATTTCATTGAATTATCTCCAAAATTGCGACCTGTAGTTTGATTACAAGGTTTACAAGCCCTATTCGGCGGGTTCAGTTGTATGGGGGCTAGGGGAAATAATGGACCGATCTTAACCATTTTCAATAGGCTTCGTCCCTGGAACAATAGAAGATCATGTACCGAATTTCTAAATTTGAATCTTCAAAATTGCGTCCTGTAGTTTGATTACAAGGTTTACATGGACGGACGAACAGACTGACGGATGCACGGACATAGCTAAAATGATTCTAAGCCGATTGGTATACTTTAAGGTGGGTATAGGACCAATATTATTGTGCGTTACAAACATCAGCACAAACCCAATATACCCTCCCCACTAAAGTGGTGTAGGGTATAAATAGTTTCAAACGTGTTGCTACAAAATAAGAAGTAAACCAACAAACTCGGGCCCACGTACTACCCAGCAAAAAAGAACTTCCAAAAATGCGAAAAATAAGTGGAATTTACTCTATGGAAGTATTGAAAAAGACCAGCAGAAGAATTGTTTTTAACACAGGCTTGTCATAGAAGGGATGTCCTTTTTATTTGATTCAAAATTCTCTACTTCTGAAAACATTCTCAAAAAGTAACTTTTATGTTCTTCATATGATTCGGTAAACGGAATGCCATATGTTAATTTTTACCAGCGATTATTCGAAGTATGTATTTATATTATGAATAAAGTTGGTAGTACAATCTTGAGGAATAGAGATACTACCAATACCACGGGTCAGCCGTAATCTGAAACTATAGGATTTGCTGTTTGAACAGAACACCGATCTTATCTGGTGTCAAGGGAGTCTTTGGCCCGCAGAAATGTTTTTTTGATATATTTGGATTAGTTTCAGACAAGTCCTTTGGGAAAATTACCTTGGTGTTTTCGCAGCTAAGGTATGCCTTATTATGTCGGGAAAGTATATGGTATTCTTGTAATCTCAACAGTTGTAATATTGTGACATGCTACGCGACTGTTCTATCGATGCAATCATTGGGTTCAGGGTGATGACGCCTAAGTACGAAAGAGAAATCCTGTTTTATATTAGCTCATATATCGGTCTACCTAATATACCTCTACATGCTGTTGCGGAAACAATAGGGTCATCTCTGTAGTTTATCTGCGCGGTCTTAAAAAGGTTGAGGAATGAATGCACTTGATTGCTTCACCTTCCTCGTCGTTTCATCTAGTTCTCTTAATGGTCTCTTTGCCAAATTCTATACTTCTTCCACACCGATATTGAGAACGATTTATCGTTTGTAGAATCATTTCTCTGAATGACCTAGCAAGTTATCCTAGCAAGTGTCATTTGCTTCCCCAAAGTGGTACTTCCGCAAAAAAAAAAAAAAAAAAAAAAAAAAAAAAAACTATTTACATCGAGTATTTTCAGTCCTTAATGTTCAATAAAACGTTATATTAACCCCTCCAATCCACGTACATACATACATGTACCTTCCCTAATGACCTTATTACGAAAACATCGCCAGTTTTCATAATTTAAGTCCTAATAACCTAAAGCTCGAAGACAATAGTTCTTTGGTTGTTTCGGCATAATTATCCTTCTGCGACTCTAACCTTTTTTTGATAATGTCAAAACATTACAATTTTAAGTTGTTTTCCGGTTTGCTGCTTCGCGGAAAAGGACCCACCAATTTTCAGTCCTTAATGTTCAATAAAACTTCTTGGTTCGATGAGTCTGTTTATTTCCACGAGGGGGGCATTTGGTGCCGATCTAATTCGCATAAGGTTGACAATCTTCCTCCGCTTTTTACATACTGCTAAGAAAGCAGAGCGATCTACTAAATGATACGCTACACCACCATTCAACCCTTGAATACCTTGCCCTCCTTAAGAGCCGTAAATATGATTTTCTTATCAGTAATCTAATGCGTTTCTCTAAGATTGAGGTTATTTGTTAATGGTTACATCATTTAATTAACTTTTCAGGACTTTGACACTACTATTATCCACTCCTACAAACTCCTACTAATATATTACCTAATCTAAGAATTGGGAACTAACGATTTAAAATTATGAAATGAATATAGATTACAAATCTCAACTATTAACATACCTTTGCTCTTGATTTCAAAATTTCCAAATCAGCTTTCTTATCCACCACAAAAATGGGATCATCAGCCAGTTCTGCCGGTATGACATTGGTTTTACCTTCTATAATTAAAATGCGTTCACGTTCGACTTCTTTAAGCTGTCAAATAAATCCAGAAAATAATAAATGCAAACAAATTTATAAAAAATATCCATAAAAATTAAAACTAAATTTATTTCATACAAAATAAATGCACTCTGTTGTTAGGTGGAATTTTTGTTAAGGGTTACATTCTACTCAAATATTATTCTATTGTAGCTAACCAAAATAGAGGAAAACAAACAAAAATTTGAAAAAAAGTTTATTTATTTGTTGGTTCAATAACTAATTTAAATGAAAATCTGGTTTATTGTCATTTTAAGCTAAACAACTAACAAACCAACCAACCAAACAACAGCCTGCCTTTATCCATCACTGTCATAAACAAAAGTGTCAGGCATTTTAATTTGTACGAATATTAGTTAGAAATTGACTAATAATGTCTAAGTATAGAAAAAGTACTAGGAATTATTGGTGACAATAATGTCACTTTAATTTCGTACCTGATGGTATTTTAACTTTAGTTTTTAATTTCGATATTTCATGTTTAGGAAAGTTTTTAACTTTTGTGAATTTTAATAAAAATAATTATAATTTGTTGATGTTGTTTTTGGTAGTTTACCAAAGGGAGAGTGTGATATTTGGCGATTTGGATATATTATATACATAGTTATTTATTGTTGCTATTTCAGGGCCCTGGTAAATTAGGTTTTCCCAAACAAGAGACTGAGGTAACCATTGTACTCGTATGCGTTAAGTAAAATATTGGATTTCTAAGGTCAGCCTATGATGTAGCTGTTACATAGTAAATTCATACCTTTTCACATGTGACCCATCTTACAGTACAGACTAGTTAAAATGCCGCTAAGAAATCTTAAAGAAGCAGTATTGAAACTTTTTGAAATACATATATTTCTTTTAAAACGGCTGGTCCGATCGGGATAAAATTTGACAATGGCCAAGGAATATTCCAGTTTTGAAAAAGGACCCTATTGCTCCATCGTAGGCTCTTGTATGCTCAAAGTAGAGCACCTTTGACATGTACATGTTTGAAAAGATTGAAAGATACGAAGCCTATTGACAATGTTAAAATCTGTCCTTAAATAATTACACCTAGTTCCCATACAACCGTATACCCCGAACAGGGTTTTTGAGCTCATAATTATAACTTACTTTTATAACTTTAATGTAGACGTAAGGCCCTCTATTTATGAGGATAGGCCCCTATTTACCCTTGACACATATAACCTTTTATAAAATCACGTTTGGCTGTAGAGAATTTCAAAATTGAATAATGTTTTTTTCGAATTTTAACGCTTTAAATAAATTGATTTTCTTCAAGAATATATTCCGTAAATTTTGGTTTATATAAAACTAGTTTCTGTCGAATTTTATCCTTATACTTGTGTGGATCAATCCTCATTTGGCAGAGAGATTTTTGTTCCTATAAATTTGTTCATGTAGAATTTCGTTGCTATATTGGTAATGTAATGACAGTTATGAGAGTAAAAATCATTTTCTAAAGGGGATCTGATATGGGGTGTAGGGTCGATTATTGACCGATCCTTGCAAAATTAGATAGAGATATTTTGGTTTCTATCAAACTTGTTTTATCAAATGTCATAACTATACGGGTAATTTTAAACTAATTTTGTCCGTTAAAGAGATTTTCTGAAGGGTACTTATATGGGAGATATGGACCTATCATCATAAAATTGGTATTGAGGTTTTTCTTCGTTTAAAACTTCTTTATGTCGAAATTCCTCGCTCTACTAATATTATTAAGGGAGGACTTATATGGAGTATAAGGTCCATTATGGAGATATTGGTTGCTATAATATGTACTTGTTTATTCTTGTTTGTTCTTATTAAGTCAGTTATGAGCGTTAAAGTAATTTCTCATAGGGACCTTATATGGGGAATGGGTTCAATTATGGACCGATTCTCATAACATTTGGTAAAGCGATTTTTGTTGCTATAAAACTTGTTTATGTCAAATTTCGTCTGGTATTATTATGGATGGTAGGTTTAATTATGGTCCGATGTCCATCATACATTACAATATAATTTTTAGTTGCATAAAACTAAATTGAATGAAATTTGTTCACGATTGCTGTATAATTAAATAATTTTTGACACTTTATGATAGCCATACTCGACTATATATTCTTAGTCCCCATTGAAAGTCCGCCCGTTATTCTCTAAATGTTCACATTAATGTCAAAGTTCTTCATGTAAAATTTGAAGATTCTAGCTCTAATAATTTTTCAGATATACGAATTTTTCTATTTAATTCATATGGGGGCTCCAAGCTCCTCCCCCAGATGAAACTTCGCCCCTTTTATCTCCAAAATGTTTAGATGAATAATAAAGTTCTTCGTGCAAAATTTGAAGAATCTAGTTCAATTAGTTTTCCAGATACACAAAATTTTGTTTTTTTTCATATGGGAGGTGCAAAGCCCTTGCTTCAAAACGTGGGCGTGTTTTACACAGATATAAGTACATAAGGACCTAGAATATATGGTACCCTATGTTACCCAGGAAATGAGAAACTTATACATACCCCCTCTATCAACACTCATGGTGGTGAAGGATATACAAAAAAAAAACTGTCGCCGTGTTTTACAACTTATTAAACTTTAACATTCGTGCACTTTTGAAAGCATTAAATTACACAGCCAAGTCAGGCAAGTATTCCATTGGAGAAATGCCAATAAAGAGAAATTAACACGAAAGTTGACATTTTCTTTTTTGCTTTCATTTATTTACCCCTCAAATATGAAAAGAAAATATTTCATTAAATACCACCAGAAACATTACAGATTCTTAATACAACACCTTTAAAAAGTTCGAAAAGTTTCGAATACTCAACAGTTTGGATTTTGAAACGCACGTTTTTATGCAGTGTAGGAGATTTCAGGGTTTTTATTTTTATTATTAAGGGGGGTGTGTTAAGAAATTTACAAAAAACAAAATGTTTATCAATGTTTACCAAGTTAACATTTGTTTTGCGAAGTTCATATTTCATGTAGACATTTTGACTTCGATTAAGGTCAATGTTAAACTATATATAGAACAACAAACATTGAAAATTGGGTTTCAATTTCAAAATACCATTTACATGACATGATTTTTCTCTAGACAATTTCAATTGTGTGGCAAAGCAAATTGTTTTTTTTTTCGCAAACTTTATTAAGGAGTAATACCTGTCACCAAATTGTATTTGATGTTGATTTTTATTAAGATAAAAAAATATAAGTAAGTTATTTGTTAAGAAATTGTTTATTGACATGCACATACGTTTTGTAAGTTTTGTTTTAAAATATCTAGTTTTGTTCAGATAAAAGCAACATATTCATGTGTTGCACTTGAATCAAAATTGATTTTGACAGAAGTTCATTACTAAATCCTAGAATATTCTTGAAATTTGATAGATTCTTTAACAATGTGTAGGAAATCGTATTCTTGGCATGTTAAAACATTAAAAATAGTTGGAATTACATTATCTAAATTATGAATAAATTTATTATTATTTTATGCTCATGTTTAGTTTATATATTGCGAAAATAAAACAAACTAAAGTTTGCAGTGGGGTTGGTCTATTTTCTTTGAAACAAATATTAAAGTGCCGTCTGCCATATGAGTTTTATTATGCAAATACTCACATGTAAATAATGATTAAAAATGGTTCATTTGAATAGCAATAAAATAGATTTTATTAGTTATAACAAGTTAGAGTGCTATATTCGGCTGAGCCGAATCTTAAATACCCTCCACCAGCTACTTTTATATTAATACTTTTCTAATTGATCAAATATTTGTAGAAATAAGTTTTCTCATATCTTAAATAGAAAAATCCCTAGATTCAAACAGCTCAAATCTATTACAATTCCAAGATTTATTGAACATTACCAACGCTTGGCGATTTTTTGCATGTATGTATGTGTGTGAAAGATTTAAGGATTTTCAAAATACATATATATAATTTTGTTCTACACAAATTGATAATGCAACTAGTTAAATACGGTTTTAGGGGCAGGACCTAGTATGGGAGATATGACCAATTATAGACCGATCGTAAAAAATTCTTTAAGCAAAACTTCTGGACATGAAAGCTATATTTCAGTAAAATTCTGTATCTATATCGTAATTTAGTAATAAGTAATGTGTGTTATGAACCGATCGTGCAAAAATCTTGAAATAGAATTTTTGTATCAATAGCTTTATTTGGTAATGAGTAATGTGCATTTAAGAGATTTTCGAAAGAGGACCTTGTATAGGAGTTATGACCAATTGTGTATATAAAAACAAAATTTCAAAATTCTGTATCTATATCATTATTTGGTAATGAATATTGTACATTTAAGTAATTTTCTGGAGGGGGCCTAGTATGAGAGCTATGACCAAGTATGGACCGATCGTAAAACAATTTTATAGTGTAATTTATGTATATAAGAGCAATATTTGTGCTAAGTGTATGGATATCAATATTTTGTAATGAAATAATAATAATGAAATGTAATAAAATAATAATTCATTCATTAATTATGCCTATATTTTTATATGGGATTGAGATTTACAGTGGTACCTTAGGGTACAACATTAAAATACTCACCAAATTATTTAATAGAGTTATTCGATACCTTTTCTGTTTACGACGTCGTAATCATGTATCAATTTATGTTTGCAGATTTTTAAAATGTTCTTTTCTTAATTATATAAAGTCGCGACTTTTACTTTGTTTTTACAATATTTACAAAAATGGTAACATTTTACGCATTATGTCATTTTTCTCCTTTAGTCGCTCAAGTCGTAATCGTCAAATTCAGATTCCTAGACTAACATCAGTACTGGAGCGTTCTTTCCACGTGCGAGTGGCTAGAATATTCAATAATTTGCCCAGCTCTCTTAGAACATTTCGATTTTCTTATAACACCTTCAAAAATAAAATATTTGTTCATCTTCTAAATAATGATTTATAATTGATTTTTATCACCATCTTGCAATTGAGATTTTCCCCATTTTCTCTTCTATATCTATATCCTTTTCTTTCTCTTTCTTTATTCTTCCTATCTAATCTTAAGAATATATATATATATATAAGATTTATATTGTATTTATTTTTAAACATTTTGTTATTTACTCTTTGTTAAGTGGTTTTTCATTATATGTAGTAAATTTGTTAACTATATATGGCCCTTTGGGCTCAGTTATAATTGTATAATAACAAATTAAATATGTGCGTTTATGTGATTTTCGGGAGGGAACCTTGCATGGGAGCTATGACCAAGGATGGACCGATAGGAAAAAAATTTTACAGTAATATTTCTGTGCATATGAGCAATACTTGTACCAAATTTTATATGGATATCCTAATTTAGTAATGAGTTATGCGCGTTTAAGTGATTTTCGGGAAGGGACCTTGTATGGGAGCTATGACCAATTATGGACCGATCGGAAAAAAATTTCACAGAAATATTTCTGTATGTGAGAGTAATACATGTACCAAATTTTATATGGATATCTTAATTTTGTAATAAGTTATGCGCGTTTAAGTGATTTTAGGGATGGGACCTTGTATGGGAGCTATGACCAATAATGGACCGATCGGAAAAAAATTTCACAATAATATTTCTGTTCACATGAGTAATACATGTACCAAATTTTATATGGATGTCTTATGTTAGTAATGAGTTATGCGCGTTTAAGTGATTTTCGGGAGGGGACCTTGTATGGGAGCTATGACCAATTATGGACCGATGGAAAAAAAATTTCACAGTAATACTTCTGTATGTGAGGGCAATACTTGTACCAAATTTTATATAGATAACTTGATTTAGAAATGAATTATTTGCGTTTAAGTTATTTTCGGGAGGGGACCTTGTATGGGAGCTATGTCCAATTATGGACCGATCCAGAAAATTTTTTCTCTGAATGAATTCTATTGACATAAGATTTTAATTTGTAAAATTTTGTAAAGATTTCGACATTGTGACGGAAGTTATTAACAAAAATCCCATTTTCCGGGAATATGTACTTTTGTATGGGAGGTATATGAAATTGTGGACCGATTCTGGCAATTTTCTTATGTAGAAACGAATGTATGCTGATTTTCATGGAATTATCTTTCATAGTTTTCGAGAAAATTACATCAGAATGTGTAAAAAATGCTTATTTTTTTCGAGGTTGTTTCAAATTTTGATTCATAACTTTTCCCGGTGTAAACCGATTTTGCTCATTTTCAATACCAAACTGCCTAGGACAATAATAAATATTTTGGGTGAATTTCGTTAATTTTTATTGCTTCGTGTTAACGTGAGAATGTTTTATACAGACAGACAGACAGACAGACGGACGGACAGACGGACATAGCTAAATCGACTCAGAATTTCATAAGGTCCAAGAATATATATACTTTGTTGGGTCTCAGATGAATATTTCTTGGTGTTACACACGGAATGACAAAGTTATATATACCCTCTATCACCACTGATGGTGGTGGAGGGTATAAAAATAATTGTTTTTATCGAGAAGTTTGTCCAAATTAATCTTATATAACCACCATCAAAACGTATGCCGTAAAAGAAATGTTCCCCTATTTCCAAAAATACTCTACAAAAATTATAAGATTATTTCGAAAAAATCAAATATATTTTATTTTCAAAAATTATACTGAGGTCAGGATTTTCAATCGCTGATAGGGAACTGATTACCATTGAAAAAAAAAATATTGTTTATTTTTCTCGTGTTCAGAACATTAATAATACCGTGGAGAAACCTAAAATCGGTTCAGATTCAACAATGTTACTGACTTAAAAGTGCTTAAAGGTACGAAAACCCGGTTTTTTACCCGTAACTCAAAATTTTGGAGGTGTTTGGAAAATCTCAAAAACATATTCTTGTTCTACTCGGATCCACCTTTCAGAAAAATAGTATCACCTCCCAGGTATTTATTTTTGTCGCATAGTGTTATGGACCGATATTCATAAAATTTATTAGAGAGAGAGAGAGTTTCATTGCTTTACTCTTATTTTTAAGAGATACAGTAGTTCTCAGGAGAATTCCCTATATATATGTTTAGGTAAGTTATGGACCGCACTTTACAACAAGTTAGAGTGTTATATTCCACTTGTATCCTAATACTCAATATATAGAACAATTTATAAATTAAACTAAGTATTTTGTGTAAAAGGGGTTATATGGGGAATAGGTTCAATTTAGGACCAATCTTCAATACATTAGCTGGGGAAATATAGTTCATATAACAGTTTTTTGTCGTTTACACCGATATAATTGCATTTTAAAGCTATTAATCAGTGTTAACGTTATTTTCCAAAGACAACCTTACTAGAGGGTAGGGTCAGTTATAGATCAATCGTTATAAATTTTGGTAAAGAGTGGTTATGTTCCTGTAAAACTTATTTATGACTAATTTCATCACATATTGCGGCGATGAGAGTGAAAGTCATTTATTTTTTGTTATATAGGGTAGGATCAATTATACACCTATCATAATAAAATTTAATAGGCTGTTGGTTCCTATAAAGTTTGTTTTTGTCGAATTTTATCACTGTAATAGTATTTTTAAGATGAATCTTAAAAAGGTCTTTCAGAATATAGTATCTTTCAAGCAGTAATCTTAGCGATTTGGAAAGCGACGGAATTGGATACAGAATCATATCGATCCGGCGCCAGTTGTGACAGTTTATGTCGATAAACAGTGTTGGGTGCCGGGGCTCTGGCAATGAGGTTGACGACGAACTGTCTAGATTAGCTTCGAACCTTAACAGAGATGAAAAACCACCCAATTGTCACTATTACAGGTTGATCCCTGGAATAATAGAATAATTTGCAAAATATCAAAGGCCTTATGGGCAACATTTGATCTAAATCCTACCCAAGATACTTATAGAACTGAATAAACGCAGTCTAAGGATTCAGATATAGATACTAACTGAGAATTGCTTAATTAGGGCCTTTGTCAGTAAGTGAAACAGTTATATATCGGACTATTGCAGGTTATGCGAAGATGCAGGGGAATTAGATACGATCGAGAATTTAAAATGGGTTTTATTGGGAGATTAAGATTATCCCACATTTCCTTCTTAAGGGTAAATCTTCTGACGACAGACCGATTCCATTCATCTTTCCACTTTGCATATTTTCTCTCCTTTTTGTTTTCTTCTAAGGTAATTGTTTCCCTGTCTTTATAACTTCACTATCTCTGAAGGCAATCACAATGGATCTTATGATATCCGAGATGAGGTACAAACCTTTCTTAACTGGATACCCACGGTTTCACAAATCATGCAAGATATCAAATCTCTCTGATAACATTAACTAGTACACATTCATAAAATCGTCAGTTTTATAATCTCGGAATGGGAAGGTGAAGTATCTTCACAAAGCCTGTGTGACGGTTTAAAATAACCCCGCCCCTGGTGATCTCCATAATCTCAAAATTCAAAATCTAAACTAGACAACTCCTCTTTGTGCATGTAAAATTTTATTAAAATTGGACTAACCCTTTAGAATTTAATGATATATATCCTTCAAGTTTTTTTTCTATACCACTGTGCATAGATGTAATTTTGTAATTTTGCATACAGTGTTATAATCCTTAAAAGAGTTCAAAGTAATACTTCTATAGATAGACAAAAAATGTATAATTTCTAAAAAGACCTCTAGTACATTATCTTTTACAGTATTTTCAACTACTACTTACCTCTCTTGCCTTAATGCGCTTCTGTAAATTTGCCCTGTAATCATCTTCGATGCGCTCCCTAAGTTCTTTCATATAATTGCGGTCAGTTAAACGTACAACATTTGTGCCCATGAGACGTTCCAAGGCAGCACTTATGCGTGGCAAATTGAAACTGAAACATGCATGAGAGAAAAAATATTTCAATTAAATAACCATCTGACAAAAGTTATTAAATAATATTACTTGTTAAATATTCACTTAAATAAGTATATAAAATGTTTATTTGTTTTCTTTTTTTCTAGTCTTAAGTAACGTTTCGTTACCACTATTTGTAGCAAACTGTTTCGAAAACCTTCTAAAAGTTTTTGTGGTTCATATGCATGTATAGTTTGTATATACATAAATATTTAGTAAGTTTAGTTTTAGGATTTTGTTTTATTTGATTCATATTTTGTTGCCAATTTATATCCTCGTTCATATGTTGTTCTTTTTTTATTGTTTCTTTCTTATTTATTTCTGATGCCTTGTTATTATTTTGTATTGTCATAATTCGTCTTTTCTTTTTTTCTCGGGGATACTCTGCATATAAAATGGTGGTGTGTTAGTTGGTTGGATGTGTTTGTGACAATCCTCAGTATATTTTGTAAAAGGTACTGAGATTTGTTTGTATTACTGACTCTAGGAGTTCAGTTATTAGGCCAGTCTGAAGGCGATGCTATGCGGATCATCGTTGATACATAGTATATTTATCGGGTATTTATGCTTATTCAACTAGTTGCATTAGTTATAAGACCAGTACTTGCTCGAGAATTTTCTTCGATGATTAAATTCCATCAAATGCCGTGTTTCCATCCCTATTTTTGAGAAATGGATATGACTCCAAACATCGACGATTTATGTATAAGTAGACAGTCAAGGCTGTAATAAGGTCGAAATGTCTTCTCAGCTATATCCCCTTCATTTTTCACACAGAAGACATACAAAAGAGAATTAATTTGCACTTTATGAGTAACCATAATTAATAGTCTCCTGAGGATGTGGGATTTACACCAGTGTGCTATTCGGACGATGTTGTAAGGAGCAAGGACTGAAATTATTTCTGCAGAAGGGGCAAGAAGATGCTAAAAGACTTTCGAATGGGTTGAATGTCAATCCATCTAAATGCCCACACTAAACCCCGGTTGTTGGACCGACATGGTCAAATACCCTGGCATAATCCTCGATAGAAAACTAAAATATTAATACTAATAAAGAAATAAGCTAGGTATTAGTCCAAATGTGACACACTCGCTTTATAAGGGTGTAATTGGATCTGTGTTAACTTCCACATCTTTAATCTTATGGACTACTATGAACAAAAAGTGTAACACTACAGGGAGTTCAGCGTACGTGTTGCTTCCCAGCAGTACAGTTGGATAGTCCCGAACTTTCTATTTATCCTACCGCTTAGGGTTTTCCCGAGCCGCTGACAGTCCAGGTGACTCCCCCGGGGGCATGTTACCTTGGTGAAATCTCTATCTTAGTGTTATTGAAATATCTCGGGAAAAAGAGGTGCCACTAGCACTTCTAGTCTGCCGGGACTATAAACTGGTGATGTTACTTCACTCCTCGGCTAGTCCTTGGTATGATTTAACATTTAGTCTAAACAGAAAACCACATAATCTGGTACTATGGGTGGTCAATTGCCTGCAGTACTTGTACTGGCTGCTCAGTTGGTTGAGATTCCTTCGGGCTCGGTTTTAAACCTAAAATCGCATATGCTGGATTTCTTAACCCGATCGGAATTTCTTACCGGTCGTGTAGTGGGGCGCCGGTATATGCAGGGGAATTGTCAGGTTAGTGTTCAGTATTTGCCTGTCATTCCGTAGAGAGATCTTTATGATCATAGGAATGGAATTGAAGCGAAAATTGCTGAAAGATTGGGAAAGTCTCCATATATTGGAGATTAGTACTGATTTACTATGCTTTTTTACGCTTCAGGGAAGTTTCTCGGTTGCAATTATTGGATTCAGTTGATTTTGGAAACTCCTACATCCTTTGTCACATAGATCAGTTCATATAGAGGGATCCTGATCCATTATTTTGGGTATTTCAGGCTACCAAATACGTCTCTAGGTGCTGTTGCCAAAACAATAGAGCCATCTCAGTAGTGTGGTTAGGCGAAATATAAGGTCCAGGAATATACTGGGGTGAGTCTTTAGATGATGATGAAGAATGTTTGTTGGAACATGGCATTCCTCATGGTATCAATAGGGTATTTTCACCTGATGTTGGGTCCGCCCATTCTATCGACTCTAACCAGTGATTGCCTTCTCCTTTGTCGGGGTTAGATTGAGCTTGTTTCATGACACCTGTTATTCCCCAACTGGACTAGTATGGCAACAGATTACATAGATCGAGCACTCGAACAAAGTAAATTGCCACCTGCGTGTAAGAAACATGATGGGGCGTTGCAAAAGCTCACCAAGTGGTTGAAAAAGACGACCGTGAAATAAGGCCGTCTGGGCAGTTGTTCACGTAAAGCACTTCGACATTCGTGCCCAGGTGACTGGCTATTTTAAAATGTGCTTGTCCTACGAGGAAGTCATTCGTCACCCCATGAATTACTAAGAGATAGATAAAGGGGACACTAAAGTCCACCCTCGTTTACAAAGGGTACATACGTGACGAAAGACGAATTAGAGCCAACCAGGTGGTTAGACGTTAGTGAAAATCATTCTTTTTCGGATGCATTGACTCTGCCGAAATGCTGGATTGAATGTAACTGAAGCCATGATCACTTTGTCAATTAAAGCTTTAGAAACATTGTTGATCATTCCTCCGATCGAAACGTATGTAAAATACGAGACGGAACTCACAAACTATCTGCTCTTATCTTTGGGCGAATTGGTCCCAGATAGCAGTTGGCAGTTTTCTTACATGGTTACTGTGGTTCATGTACAAGGACTTTGCTCAAGTATTTGGGCTCTCTAATCTCTTGGCCATTGCTGCACCTTTGCGTAACATTCGAGATGCAAAAACATCATTTCCGTTTATAACCACACAGATGGAATGGCCTCTGTTGATTCGGTGACAGACATAATCGGTAGACCGAAATACGAATCCTTTAAATAGGCCTAAGCTCTTAATCACAGAGAATATATTGCTCTAAGTCTCTAAGTAAGGCATGTTTCCTTGATGTTCAGACCGCATCTTGGTGTATTGCAATCCGGGGGTAGATAGGTGCTACCAATACCTGTAGTCTTCCGGGACTATAAATTGGTGTTGACAATTTACTGGCTGGCCTAGTCCTTGCATTAATTGGAAAGAGGTCTAACCAGAGCACCACATAATCTGGTACTACGGGTGGCCAGTTGCCCCCAGGACTTGTCCTGGCTGGTCAGTTGGTTGAGGTTATTTCGGGATCCACGTAGTGGCTGTGGTTGAAACCTAAATCGCAGGAAGGGGGTGCTTGGTTAAAAGACTGATACACGGTGAAATATAAATTTTCAAGATACATTTCTGTTATCGTTCCTAGATGCAAGGAGCGGAACAAATTACAGAGCATGACTGTGGATTAATAAAATGTTGGAATTGAGCTGATGCGAAGAATTAGTAAACGAAGATGAACGATGTTTCTGATGTCTACATTGATTCTATAAAGAGAATGGGAGAATGAGTGATAATGGGGAACCGATGTAAGATGAACGATGAATGAGAGTTAGACTACGGTCTATCAAGCCAATGGAATGCGCAGTCGTCACTGCCCTTTCTTTAATTTAAAAGCGATTTTCCAACATGGTTGAGTGTATGCTCAACTTATCACAGTGGGTCTCTGTGTCCACTGAAATAAAGTCTTGTCAATTAATATAATCTGTCGGACTACCAATTTCGTCCCCTAGGTGCTGTTGCCGAATCAACAGATCCATAGTAGTGTGGTTGGGCGTCATTATGTCGGGGTAGATTGAGCTTGCTCATGACACCTGTCTTTCCCCAACGTGACTACTTTGGCAAGAGATTAGATAGTTCGAGTACTTGAGCAAAGTGCTTGTACATGGACCGGCATATCAATGTACAAAAATTGCGACCTGCGTGTAACAAACACAAAGGGGCTGTGGTGAGTTGTTTACTTGATACTCACCCAGTGGTTGAAAAAGTACCACCGTGATATAGGGCTACACGCCAGGTACTCACGTAAAGCACTTCGACTTCATTGCTCTAAGTCTGGTATGGACAAAGTAAATCCTGAACATACATTTCATCCATCACGATTCAACCCAGCAATCTTATCATTTATCCTAAACATTCATTGAGAAATATATCCGACATTATCAAATAAGCCAAAGTTCTTAATCACAGAGAATATACTGCTGTAAGTCTGGTATGGACAGAGGAAAGCACAGAACTTATCTAGAATTATTGATTTCACCGTGTATCAGTCTTTTAACCAACATTCTCTTGCTGCGAGTTTAGGTTTAAACTATAGCCACCACGTGCACCCCGATGGGAGCTCTAGAATAACCAGGACAAAACAAAGTCCAAAACTCTGCCCTGCGGGCTACGGGTAGCCGTGGTACCAAATTATATAGCTCTCTGGTTCGACCCAGGAAAGGTCGGGGATATATTTAAAACCACAAGTGTATAATCCCGGCAGACTAGAGGTACTGGTAGCACCTCTATTTTCTCCGGATTGCAATCAAGATAACGTCTTTCTTACTGAAAATGATAATTGTAGTATTTTCCACTGACTGAAAGAGGTACAACTGAAAGCACGAAATACAATATGACTGGAGTTTGAATGCAGTATGGACTTTGCAGCTTTAAAAAGTAGTGTTGAATAAATTCGTCATTGCTTTCAATATAGTCAAGACATATAGAGTTTCTCCATTCTACCTCTAGTTTTTGGGTTTTTCGCCTTAGTTGAGGTTTTTGGGTTTCCCCTTAAAAAAATTCACCTCGTTAACATTTTTGTTTGAAAATAAAAATAAAAAAGTGCCGCTCATATGTACATATATAAAATATTAAATAAATGGTTTATTTATTTTCATCCTATGGTGCTTATAAGAAGTTTTTATTTGGGTATATTTCGGTTATTCATATTTTATATCGTTTGTTTTTTCCTTGGTAGTAACATTACATGCGATAAATGAATGAATGTTTATGGGACTACAAATTATGAGAGTGTTTTTACCA